TAAGAACCCTAAAATATAAGTCCCTAGAGTATTTATAGTGCCAAAATAGGAGAAAACATTCAAAATAGGTCGGGCGGCGGACAAGCGTGCATTCGGAAGCGTGTTTTTTCCTGTTCGAAATTTATGATCAAAATATCAAGGTAGTTTCAAATTCCTTTCTACTCGAATTCTCCCTAACACGTGTTTCAACTCTAGAATACTTTCAAACATATAATACACCCCCATATAACTTCTCTCAAGGTTTCTCAACCTTCCAGATTCAATTGTGCCTTATTTTGATCTAAAAATAATTAGAAACTTACCTATCCACACTTTTCATACTTAAACGCCTCCGAAACTAAATTCGACAAGAAAGTCAATATGCACGAAACTCAAACTTCATGATTAATATTTCAACAATGATTCGAAGTTGCTATCATCCTTTTAGAAATACTCTTAATATCATATTATCGATCTTTAAATTTTATACGGGATCTTACATGATCACACCTACAACCTAGATAGTACTAGCCCCTAGTAATACTATGGATCCCAAAACTAAAAACAAAATAAACATAAATATTACTAAACCACTTTCTTAGGAGTCACGTTTACATTTAGCATATGCAACAAGCCTTTAAAACCCCAGGTTATCCCTAGTGGATGAAGTCTCATGAACGTTTCTAGTAAAGATACCTGCAAACTTCATCCTCATTCATTAAAAAACTTGAATTATATAAATATTTCCTAACTAACAATTAAATCTTTGAGGAGATTCAATTGTATACTCTAATAAGTCAACACAAAGCCAAAACCATATAACCAATTGTGTATAACAGTATTCTCATATTGTCTCATCACTCAAAACATTTTTGTGATGTGAAATAACTATACCAATTCTCCAAATAACACCTCACTTTTGCAACTATCAATAGTTAGCTTTGATACGAACCTCTCCAAGGAATACACTTAGCAAGAACAACACTCTAATAATAGTGATTATTCGCATTTCATAGCATCATATGTTACCAAACTTATACAATTCGAAACAATATAACTCACATACATCTCATATCAAATAACCACTTATTCAATTGAAAAAGGATTTAGTATAATCTCAGGAAAGGCAATGAATAACGACTAGTAAACTTATTGCCAATCTCATCCTTGTGCACACAATCTATACATAAACCACTAAATACTTGAGATCAACTAGGTCTTTACTTTGGTTGGAATGAGGCTTTTGGACAAGGGTTTGAGAAATGATGTACAATAAAGGATTCAAAAATAAATCATCCCGAGAGAACATTACTTTTTCCTTTTCTTTTTTTTTGTTTACCCTTTTTTCTTCAATCTCTGTGCTACCATCATCATTTAAAAATCCATTTCATTTTACTTTTCATGTTCTTTCTTCACAGCCCTTTTTTCATTTTATTTTCTTTTTCATTTTTTTTTTGAACTTCATATTCCCCTTATTTTTTTCTTCAACTTTCTCTTCTTTTTTTTTTCTCAACAAGCATGGGAAATAATCCTTTTCCTCGCTTATCTCTTTAGAAAATAGCCATCTTCATCCCTTCTTTCCAATATCAAAGATGATCTCGGGATAACCAAGGTAAGGTATAACATTTACTTGGCTTGGTCGTTCAACATGGCTAAAGAAAAGAAATCATCTGAAAAGACTCAATCACAGCTTCTAACGACAATGTTAAGAAAGAAATGAAGTTAAGGCTCAACTTAAATAAAAAATTGTCTAAATCCATATCTCCAGAATAAATGGTCAATGTACTTTAACTGTAATCAATTCTGAAATAAATAATCATTCACTATATAGGTACTAGTCAAATCAAAATAATAATGAGATTATTCAAGAATTTCGCTAAATGAAATTACCTTTATTCAAGAATTTCACTAATTGATGTATAATGCCAGATGCATCTAGAAAGTTAATGAAGTCTTTCAATCAATATTCCCCACCCCAAATCAGAATAGAGACCTTTAAAATTGGTAGAAAGTTGAGCGTGAATTATGGAATGAAAAATGCGGTAAACTTGATAGAAATCAGATTTATGTGCCATCAAGTATACCCAACAATAGTGACTACTATAATATCAATAAAAGAAGCATAATACATAGGACCACCTTTAGTTGAAATATGAGAAGGTTCCCATACATCAGTATGAACAAGAGAAAAGGCGTAGTAGAAAAAGAATCACTTTTATTAAATGATAAAACAAAAATGTTGACAAGTTGATGTCATTTGGAGATATATTGACCAAAATGTTAGAGGAAATTAAACTCTATAGATGCTCACTGGACAAATGACCTAACCTAGAATGCCATAAATAAAATTTGGATGAATTATTTAATAGAAAAAAAGGGAACAATTTGGGAGAACTAGACTCAAGAGGAATATGTAAGTTCTTTAGAAGGTATAAGTCACCAGCCTAGTTTCAATCTCCTTCTTGGACTTCCGATCCTAAACAACACAACCATAAGAAGAAAACACAACATCAAATCCAGACCTAGAGAGTTGACTAATTGACAATATACTAACAAACAATTGTGGAACATAAAAACAATCAGGATAGAAAGAGAGGAAGACAGAGAGAGACGAGCAGATCCAATGAAACAACATGCATTGGAGAACCATTAGTTGTAAAAACATTTATAAGAGAAGAAAGATTAGGAATCATATGATGGGAGGAACCTGAGTCAAATATCCAAAGTAGCAAGCATAGATTGCAACTGTTCAATCATCGACTGAACAGTACTAAGAGAAACAATGGTAGGATTAAATGTAGAAGTTGCAAGTGATGTGCTTGATCCTCAAAGAGTACACCCAAGTGCAAGTGGTGAAGAAGTAGTAAATACTCGAAATTCTAAGGTCAAACCTCAAGGATCGATGAAAATCAAAAGGTAGAAAAAGAACAAAAGGTAACAATTGATTAGCAGTTTAAATTGGTTTTGTGAATTAAAAACAAGGAATTTAAAAGGAAATTATTAAATAAAAAATGAATTTTTAGTTTAAGGATCTGGATCTATTCATGTTCATCAATTAAATATGTTTAAGCAATTACAATTACCTCAGTTAATTTTCAATATCAGTGTAGTTGTTTGACTCCAAATAGGTACACCAAAGTTTGGGTGGTCAAGAAGTAGTAAGAACTCAGTAAGACCGAGGTCCATCCTCAAGGAAATGAGTTAGATGTAAGGAAAGGTGAAGAGAAGGAATAATTTATCTTGATTGTAGAATGAGCAAGTGTAACCAATTGTAAAGAGATTCTTATGTATGAAAAGAGACTCTAATATTGGGATCAAGAACTAATCATGTGTATGAATATAATACTAATGCAATTATCTCTTATATCAGTTGACTTCTAACGTTAGTGTAATCAACTAGAGGATGTAACTATTAACAAAGGTGATTAATATGAAAATATTAATTTAAGAACTAGCAATATAAACTCGTAGGGAATTATAAGAATTATCCATAACTAGAATCGACCCAGTTGATGAATAATCAAACAAGTATACAAAGCATATTACTTTGATTAGAAATATTCATTTAATAGGAAAATGAAAATGATAAATCATTCAGGAACAATAAATGCATAATAGCATTAATAATAACATTCATTACACAATCCAAGAACCCTACCCTAACTAGAGAGTACAAAGAAGATTACTCACTGGCCATGGCAAAAATCCTAGGAAAAGAAGATTAGTCAAAGAAGAACTAAAGATCCCTTCCCCTAATACAACTGACTCTTGTCTTACTTATATTTTAGAATAAAAGTAATCAAAATATTAATTTTCTTACAAGATGTGACTCACTTTACTACAAGGGGTAGAAGTAGAATGAAATTTAATTTGAATGAAATAAGAGAAAAAATTATATCATAACTTGCAGTTTAATAGAAAATAGGATTTCCAATATATCATAATAGAGGAATGGGTTCATGTGACCAACCCCTAAATAGTAGGGATAAGGGTTGTTTGAGCTGAGTATGTGGCCCTCACTTCTTCGCTATGCTATGCCAATAATTAACTAACTGTGCTATAACCGCTATTGAATTTTTCCATAGTCTTACTCATTAGATCTTAATGTGCTTGAACATATTGACTAGGCTTCATGAGTTGCATGTTGACTGTGATGGATTCCTTCTTTTCTTTTAGTTTTTTTTTTTTTTTGCAAATCTTGGAGCCTCTTCTTTATTGATACATATTAGGTTATTGATGTGGGAATGCATGCTTATATGTAAACTTTGTGATTAGAGATGCTAAGGAAGTTTATATAATGGACCTGTAGATTACTAGTTAAGCCTATTTTTGTAACACAAGCCACTTTCAAAGGGAATTCAAAATGGGATAAGAATTCATTCATGTCTAGTTGTATTTCCAATGCCCTAAACACAATGTTGTATAATAACCAGTTCCATTCAATTTTTCTACAAACTACATGAAATTTTTTAATTTCCTGAAACAGCCACCTACAATTTTTTACAAAAATAGCTTTTTAGCATGCAGATTATGACTACGTATTTCTATTGCATTCTAAACCCCTCAATGGTTGAAGCTTTATGCATTGGAGTGCCTTTTATCCTGCTATTAGTTTCTCTCTCCTGTTTCATTACCAAGCACCGTTCCCATAAACAATTCCTTTCCTGACCAAGCTTGACAACATGTTTTGAAGTTACCCCATAAATAAATAAATATATATATGTGTGTGTGTGTGTGTGTCTCAAAGTTCTTAGGTGTCATGGAAGCATTTTTGGAGGAACCCAACAATTGTTAACTTTAATGAATCAAAAGTATTTTTAACGATCAACAAAAATGAAATTTTGGATCAATTGTCATAAATTGAGCACTCTAAAAGATTCTTTATAAAAAATACTTTTTGTGCGGGGATAAATTCACACTGTCACCACCTCATATGGATGGAAAGGACGGTGAGGACACATTGAGTAACCTGTAAGACAAGAAAACACCTAGGTGAACCAAGGCCTTGTCTTGTCTTATAGGTCCTCACTATGCCTTAGATGCCAAGTACAGAAGTGTGAGGACCTACCCAAGCCATTTGTCTATTGGTAGTGGCCAAGCGAGCCCCTTGCTGACTGGCACTGGCCAGCTGAGCCACATGCCGACTAGCAAGGGCCAGCCTCTTCAAATTCCAACTAGTAAGGGCAAGCTTTCCTCAAATGCCGAGTGGAATGAGCAAGCTTCCATTATGCCGAGTGGCATAAGCCACTTTTCCATTATGCCAGCTGGCATATGTGTCTTGGGCACTCTATGCCTCACAATTGCCTCTATACCTCAATTAGAAAATTTCTGTAATTGAGGTATGCGTGTGAAGATTAGCTATCTCTCGGACCCAATTCATTGGTAATGGGCTTATTTTGCCTAGAAGACTAAGGGTTTAATTGTCTAAGTAGCTTAGGGCTTTAAATTCCCTTTCTCCTTTCTTCATTGCTCATATTGCTCTAGAGTTTGGCTGTGAGTAGGGAGGGGAAAGTATTCACTGTTGTTTATATAGGGGACTTACTTTGCTCATGAGCTAGTCGAGCGATAAGAGTTACTGGAGAGTCAAGCCGAGTCTAATAGGGTCAAGTACGAGCTGGCGAGCTTCAAGAGAAACTTGCTAAGGCTAAGAGGGAGCATGCTGAGCTAGGGGAGCAAGTGAAGAATGTTTTCTTCGATTATTACTCCTGGATCTTTTTTTCAAAATCAAGAAAAAATATACAAGAGAAAAGAACAAGTCCTTCGAAGACGGTTGGGGAGGAGCTCTCAAGCAACTAGGATTGATGGGTCGTATCCAGTTTAGAAGGACATTTCATGGCCTGAGAGTGACTTCTTGATTCCTAAGATCATGGAAAAATTCCTTGGTGGTGGTAGTTCGAGTCTTCTTAACACTTGTGCCCCTTGCTCTGACTAAAGGAAGAGGGTCCTCAAAGGTTGATGTGTCTGAGCCACATAGACTTTCTTCTTCTTTTGTAATGTAAGTAACTACTCTTTTGTAATTGAGTAATTTTTCTTTCAATTTTCTTGAGAGTTGGTTGGGTAGTTGCTACGTAACTAGCTCGTTTTGCCTTTGGGAAAGGGCTTTAAGTGTGAGATCATATACTTGACAAAGGTGGAATATTTTCATGAGAAGACTGAATAGCCAAATGAGTAACCGTATCCTGCTTAAGATGTCTATTAAATGTTGGGTAGCCCAAAGGACAACCTTAGTGATTGCAACATAATGAATGAAGGCTAAGCAGTCTAAAGGGAAACTATGGAGGTTATATAAAGGCAAAGTAACCTTATAGGGTAATCTTAGAGGTCGCATGCAGGTGAAGTAGCCTAAAGGGCAACTGTGGAGGTTGCATAGAGGCAAAGTAGCCTAAAGATCGACCGTGGAGATTTCATGGAAGCCAAGTAGCCTTGAAGTGCAACCATGGAGGTTGCATGGAGGCAAAGTAACTTGAAGAGCAATTGTGGAGGTTGCATGGAGGCCAAGTAGCCTTGAGGTGCAACCATGGCAGACGGCTTGAGGTGAAACCATGGAGGTTCACTTGAGATTTAATCAAGAAAGTTGGCTTGAGATGCAATCAAGAAGGCTAGCTTGAGGTGCAACCACGAAGGTCGGCTTGAGATGCAACCAAAGAGGTTGGCTTAAAGTGCAAACACGAAGGTTGGTTGTAAGTGCAACCACGAAGGCTACAATAATCACAAATAAAGAAACAATTAGAATTGTGAAAAACAAACTTCTCTTTACTAATCAACGAGAATGAGAAACAAATGTCTTTGAAGAGTTATTGAAGACGTTGTCAACTAATCTAAAAGTTAAACTTAGTTATCTAGTTGGTCATCTTATTGGATTTGTTGCTCTTCCGGCTTTGGTAGTCTTTTCCTTGTCAATGTACCGAGAAAGATGGCCTTGCTTGACCAACTCTTCTAGGTAGTGCTTGAGTGCCCAACAATTCTCCGTCTGATGATCTTTGTCCTTGTGATAACAATGATAGAGGTTTTGATCCCGCTTTGATGGATCTCCTATCATCTTAGGTAACCACCTAAAATATTCCTTATCTTTTATTTGGTTTATGACTTGATAGATAGGCTCCTTAAAGACAGTGTTGGTTCCTTGGTAGGAGTCTCTCGTTCCCTTGGATGATCCATCTCTCCTTGATGGATTGGGAGTGTTGTCTTCCTTCATCTAGCTCTTCTTTGGCAACTGGTCGAGCGGTCCCTTGTTGTCCTCCACCTTCATATACCTTTTGATATTCTCCTACAAATGTGACAAACACCAGGGCGGCCACATGGTGAGGTCCTTCCTTAATTCGCTTTACTTGTGGAGGCCCAAATAGAAAGAGACAACGACGGTCTTCTCATTGCATTCTTCTTTGTTGGTATAGGTTTCCAAGTACTTCGTGGCATACCCACGAAGAGTCTCTCTACGTTTCTAGTGTAGCACTAAGAGTGTATCAATAGTCGTTAACTCCCGACTATTGAATATAAATCGAGAGATGAACTCCCCTACGAGTTGTTCCAAAGAGAAGACCGAATTCATGGGCGTCCCATGAAACTACTTAAGAGCTGACCTACCCAAACTGGAGGGGAACATCTTACACATTAATGCTTCGTTGCTTGCCTAGAAGGCCATCTTATTAGTAAAGGCCCCAATGTGGATGATGAGATCAAACTTGCTATCATAGAACTAGGAGGATGGAGGAGATAACTTACGTGGAGACTAGACTTCTCGTGTGGACCAAACAAAAAGAGTTGTTGTCATCTTAAGCAAGGTTTGCTTCATCTTCTCTTTGGCTGAGTAAACAAGATCAAATTGGCCAGCATTGCAGGGAGGATGGTTGGTGTCTTTGGGGGCTAGATCAAAGCACATATAATTTTGTCTTCCATAATTTTCATACGAATCATCTCATGCAGAGTGATGGGTTGAACTCTCACGCCTTTATCTACGTTCTCTAAGCGGTGTTCCCAATGCGACTCGCCTTTCTCTCGATATGACGAGAAGGATGTCATCTAGGTGAAAGGTCCATAGGAAATCGTTGAGAACTAGTGCATCTTGGTAAATATCAACCTTGACACAAATCATAGGTTGAATAGCTCCTTGCCAGCATTGCTCCTATGACAGATGGATTAAGCCTCATGTAAGTGATCATTGTGGTGGTTACTTTGACGAGGCAGACATATGACTTAACTAGCAAATTTGTTGCCCTTTTGGAGAAGGAGCCCTTGCTTGAGGGCTTCTAGCTCCTTCTCCTTTTTTTTATTGCTTCCTGATAAGCAACTCGGTAGCTAGTTAGCTTCCTTCACCAAGGATCAATAGGTTGTGATGGAGAAGGTGTTGCTCTTCTGGTCGCTTCTATTCATCTCGAAGAAGCGCGTCATTGGACAATTGGAGGTTGTAATTTGAGGGATTTTCAAGGATTTGGGGGGTAGTGTAAGTGTCAAGTGACTAGTTGAAGGGTCATTGGTTCTCTCGCCAGGCATGGTTCAAGGCTTCTAGGTTGCTAGAAAACTTAGTTGTTTCTCACAAATAGCGCCAATTATGTAGGGATAAATTTGCACTATGAGTCACCACCTTGTACGAACGAAAAGGACAGTGAGGAAGCCTTAAGTAGCCTACAAGATAAGAAAAAACATAGGTGAGCCGATGGTCAAATGCAGCCAAAGGACTCCGATACTTAAGTTAGATCGCAAGTCAAAGAAAGCATGCAGGAAATAGACTTGGATTGCATGAATTACCTGATACACAGGGCCTTTATTTATAGTGGTGGGGAGATGTATCCCAAAGGAACCCAAAATCTTGATTGATTGGCTCAACCCCATCACCAAGTCCTAGAAGTACGAGATAGCGCTAGACTAGGACTCTCCTTGGTCCTTATTACCAGCTCCTAAATACTCAGAGTAATATTAGACTAGGATTCTAACTTCTTGATACCTCATCAACAAATCCAAAATATTTGGAGTGGTATTAGATTAGGACTCAATCATAGTTGCCTTGAATATCAAATGCGGAAGAGTGAGGACTTGCCCAAGCCATTTGCCTATTGGAAGTGGCCAAGCGAGCTCCTTGTCGATTGGTAGTGGTTAACTGAACCAACTGTTGACTGACAAGGGCCAGTCTATCCAAATGCCGATTGGCATGGCCTAGCTTCCCCCCCCCCCCCAAATGCTAGCTGATAAGGGCAAGCTTTCCTCAATTGCCGAGTGACATGAGCAAGCTTCCATTATGCCTATTATGCAGAGTGGCATGAGCTACTTTTCCATTATGTTGATTGGCATATGTGCCTTGGGCATTTTGTGCCTCACACTTCTAAAGTACAATCTATCTCTAAAATTTTACCAAATTTTTTCAGACAAGCTGTGTTAATAGCAATCTTGACCATCTTTGGTCTCTTTGGATTTTCAATAGTCATCCTTAGGATAAAGATCTAATCCAAAGATTCTTGTTAGAAAACTTCTAGATCTCAATATGAAGATGCTTTTTACTAAAGTTTCACTTTT